AGAATTCGAAACGTCAGGCAAATAAAACTCTTGTTCCAGTGATCGCATCTTCGTCTTCGAACTCATTGATTGCCAATACAAGCGAACATGCGTGTCCCAGGAAGCAATTGAGAAGAAGAAGACTCGATCGCTGGGACAATATGCTTATTCGCCTGACGTTTCGACATCTGTCGCGGATTCATCATCAGAGACCCGCTTCTGCTACTGTTTCCTATTCATGTCTTTGATGATGAATCCGAGACGGATGTCGAAAAGTCAGGCGAATAAACATATTGTCCCAGCGATCGAGTCTTCTTAACTCATTGATCCCCATTATGTTCAATGTTTTATTTTTTCCACTGCAAGTATACTGTTGCAATGCAACTAGAAGTACTAGATTTGATTAAATGCTCTTTTTTGCTAGAATTTATTTAAGGTAACCTCATCCGCAACAATCCATCTCATTATTAAATGCTAGTTATTTATTCCCAAGCAGTCAAATGAATTTTACTCTAAAATACTCCAACACGATAGCCAGGAAGTACTTCAGCAGCGATTTCCTTACGTTTGCTACTGTTTTTATTCACGATTGACATTTAATAAGGTATGCCGAGTTTTGAATGTTCAACTGATGATTTGTATGTACTAACTTAACTCTTATTCCAATTTCTAACCGAATTTATTTTATTTGTCATAAGGAAAACGACATTGAACAACGTCCATGTTATAATAGCATTCATCTGTAGATAACATGAGTGCTATCGTTTCTCTGTCGGATGTGTTTATATTTTTTGGAGAAAGTGTGCATTCAAAGTCACCTTAGGGCACTGAATGTGCCAGGATATCAAGTATATGTAGGCTATGTTGTTTGAGCGCGAGAACATTTGCCCCAGTGCGGCCCCACGTTTGTGATGTAGGCTTACCCTTCCTTGCACAGGGTTTTAAAAGATCCCCATGTTAGTCACTAGTAAATAATTGACCAAGGATGGGTGGTTCATTTTCTTCAAGTGTTATGCATGTAGGTTACACGGTTTCGAATAGCTGTCATATCAACTTTCCAGGATGAAACAAATTGGCTCCTCCTGTGTCTGGACTTTTGCTATCCTGATAGATATTTGATATATCACAAGTGGTGGCAAACAACACATGCATTCTGTCCTAGACTCGATACTATGAAACAATTTGAACTAAACCAGCTTGTGTTAGCAAATGCGCATCGTATTTATGGACCTGTTTTAGCCATTAAGCCGGATAAGAAGAAGAAGAATACAGAAGAAAATGTGATAAGAAGATGCAATATCACTGCAAAACAAACCAAATAACCTAGTAAGGCTGCAAACCTGCTGCATCAGCTACAGCTGACTGAACGCAATATGCTTCTTTAATTTACATTGCGATCTGTTACCATGTTCATATCATGCTCTTTCGGTATCCTTTAAGTGTCCTATTATGGGATAATTGAGCCTACATTTTTTATTTCGCAATCTTAAACGCACAGTTTACATCTTTCGCATTAATCATTAGCCCGTAGGCTTCAATAGATCCGGAATCAAATGAAGTTTTTCCAGCAAGCATAAATGCATAAATATGGTTTTTGCGCGTTTCCTGCTTTTAACGTCTTGCGTGATATTGAATGCCCGTATGTCTCAGTTATATAGCAAAGTAACTGAAGAGTCAGGTTTCAACTATACTCAACGAATTGTTGGTAGAACAATACAAAACGAACATAAATGCACACCAAACTCTTTCAGCGAATATGACAATGCTGCACTCGACGGTTACCTGCATTTGTGCCATATGAACCCTACAGTTTATTGCACAATAGCCAACCTGAAGGTGCAACATTGGCCTCAAACGTTAGGAGTAGACACCGTTTTATTTCACAAATAGTGTGGTTATTTGTCAAACTATGAAAATAGTTTCATACAATAGAGATGACTAAATAAAATTGTTGCATTGCGGCAGTAGTCCATCCCTAATAACAAATACATAATAGAGTAAAAACATTTCCCCAGTTTTTGAAGTTATGCTTGTTAAAAAGATATATCTCAGCTCAGAGTTGTTGCGTTTGAACATTAAATGTTACGAAATGGGGGAATCAGTAACGTTTTTCCTTGCCCAACATCGATCAACAACGATTTAGATCAAAATTGGTCGTCGTCATTCGTGAATCAACTATTCCTTTGTCTGTCTGATCCAGCACTATTTTATTCATTTCGTAATGCTCCATTTGTAATCATTTTTAGAAAACCTAGTTTATTCTCGTTCTTCAGACGATAACCATTTCAATAAGGGCTTTTATACTTGTCGTGCATGAGTCCTCCCAATTAGTTTCATGTAGAACGTTCACAGTATGTTGCGAATATTATTGCCACTAACGGAAATGTTGCTTCCTTTCGAAATGACAATTTTTCTGGAAGAGGCTAGGGGTGGTTGAAAGGCGAATAAGATACGACTGCAGAATTTCACATATTGAATACCAAACTTACTATTCCGTTGGTGTTCTTTCTTTGTCAGGATGATGTGGTGGCACACTGCTCATGCGGCTGTTCTGACTATCTAGAGTTGCAAGTAAATTGTCCATGTTCTCATATTTTAACAACCTTTTTACATTCACGTCCGATTTGTGACCAATAAAATGACCAACTTTGCTGCTCAGTCGCGGCGGTGGTGCTGGTGGAAGTTCGCAGTGAGGTGGAAGCTCTGGCGCCAGCCGTGAATACAAGCGCATATCCTGAGATTTTTGCGGAGAGCAGGCGGTACTGCCTTCTGTGACGGTTAGACCGGCTGCATGCGGTTCGTCATTGGCATCACAGCTGGCCTGGTCGGCAGCAGACCTGGTTTTTTTGGTGGGTGACGAGAACTCTCCACCTGCCTCTCCGCATTTACGAAAATCCTGTTGTCTGGTATCAATTGATTTGCCACCGCGCGGAATGACTTTGTTCTCCTGGGCATACTCTTGCTGGTCTTCCTCGAGAATGCAGTTAAGTTGCACCTCTTGCGAGCCATCATCCACTTTTACGCGTGTATTAAAAGTGACATTCAGTCCGCCTTTTGACTTCGCACCACTGCGTTTTAGCAGCCCGGCGGTGACCTTGACATTTGGAGCCTGGGTGTTGCTGGTCGAACTGTCTCTTGACAAATGATCGACACAGTTAGCTGGCAGGACACAGGGTGTACGCAGGGGGGGAGGCAAGTTGGCGGTTGTGTTCGGCTCGCCTGCATCACCAGAGTCAAAGCTGTCGTCCGGGGCGTGTCTGACAGCATCATCCGTTCTGGTTTGTTTTGGTCGTTGCCTTTGATATCCAGATGTCGTGTG